ACGAACTGTGTTGTTGTGTCCTTAGTTCATACGAACTGTGTTGTTGTGTCCTTAGTTCATACGAACTGTGTTGTTGTGTCCTTAGTTCACACGAACTGTGTTGTTGTGTCCTTAGTTCACACGAACTGTGTTGTTGTGTCCTTAGTTCACACGAACTGTGTTGTTGTGTCCTTAGTTCACACGAACTGTGTTGTTGTGTCCTTAGTTCATACGAACTGTGTTGTTGTGTCCTTAGTTCATACGAACTGTGTTGTTGTGTCCTTAGTTCACACGAACTGTGTTGTTGTGTCCTTAGTTCACACGAACTGAGTTGTTGTGTCCTTAGTTTATACGAACTGTGTTGTTGTGTCCTTAGTTCACACGAACTGTGTTGTTGTGTCCTTAGTTCACACAAACCGTGTTGTTGTGTCCTTAGTTCACACGAACTGTGTTGTCGTGTCCTCAAAGTACACGAACTGTGTCGTTGTGCCCTTAGTTTACACGAACGACGCTTGTTGTGTCCTTAGTTCATACGAACTGTGTTGTTGTGTCCTTAGTTCATACGAACTGTGTTGTTGTCTCCTTAGTTTACACGATTTGTGTTATGGTGCCTTAGAACAGGTCACACAAATTATGTTGCTGCGCCTCAGGAGAGGTGACACGAATTGTGTTATTGCGCCATAGAGCGGGTCACACGTCACACTCATCATTTATTGCGCTTGGTAGTAGGCTACATGAATTATTTTTATAACTTTTCCACGAACCAGACACATCACGCATTGGTAGCAGTCTGGAGCATCAAGTAATTATTTTATTTCACTTGCATCCGCAGGAACAGCTTGCTGAGCTCGAGGCAGCGTTCAGCAAGAGCCACTACCCTGACATCTACTGCAGGGAGGAGCTTGCTAGGAAGACCAAGCTCAACGAGGCTAGGATACAGGTTAGTCCTGTTAGTCCTAGCATGCTGTGGTGGCGCTGAGTAACTTGGCAAGGATACAGGTTAGTTTTAGCATGCTGTGGATACACTGGGCAACTAGGCAAGGATACATGTTAATTCTAGCATGCTGTAGTGGCGCATAGTAGCTATAGGCAAGGATTCTGCAGGCATGGCATGCTTCTGCAGGATTCTGTCCTAGCATGCAGTGGTGGCAATGTGTAAATAGGCAAGGATTCTGGTTAGTCCTGGCATGCTGTGGTGGCAATGGGTAAATAGGCAAGGATTCTGGTTAGTCCTGGCATGCTGTGGTGGCAATGGGTAAATAGGATTCTGGTTAGTCCTGGCATGCTGTGCTGGCAATGGGTAAATATAGGCAAGGATTCTGGTTAGTCCTAGCATGCAATGGTAGCAATGGGTATAAAGGCAAGGATTCCGGTTAGTCCTAGCATGCAGTGGTGGCAATGGGTAAATAGGCAAGGATTCGGGTTAGTCCTAGCATGCAGTGGCTGCAATGGGTAAATAGGAAAAGATTCTGGTTAGTTCTAGCATGCAGTGGTGGCAATGGGTAAATAGGCAAGGATTCTGTTAGTCATAGCATGCAGTGGTGGCAATGGGTAAATAGGCAAGGATTCTGTTAGTCCTAGCATGCAGTGGTGGCAATGGGTAACGGCCGCCTGGCCGCCGGTAAGTATCAGTAACCGTGTTATAGTGTTTGTTAACAAAGAGGGCAGTAATGCCAATTCCAGTACCGCTTCATTGACTCAAGAACAACGTTCATTATTTCCAAGTCAGTACCTTCTTCTGTTGCCATGTGAGCATAAGGCAAATTTTAATTAGTGTTGGTGAGTAGAAAAGAAGTTAAAATTCTTATTTTATGCTGTAATCTTAATTTTTTGTCTATTTTGCCTTCTAACATCTTAAGTTCAATGTCTGAATCTCTCTTGCCATCTGGGTTGCTGAATCCTCGCTCCTCAGTTGTGATAAAACATCTACAAACTCAGTCGATAAGCCCTAAATTCTGGTGATAAACTAAGATCGGAATTCTCAGTAAGACCGCAGCTTTCAGAAGGTTGATTCCGGGATTGAAATCCTCATATTAGACAGCGGGCTTTAGAAGGCGGAAAAAATATTACTCAGTACTCACGGCAGTGAGTGACAGAGAGCGCATTTTCTCGTGCATAAATCAGTTTTAATTGCGATTAGTACAGTGTATTAGAGCTAGAGATGTCGTATCTTTGATACAGGCATGCCCGCTTCTTAAAATCGACGAAAACGTGAAGTCACGGACGGACAGACGGACGGACAGACAGACAGACGGACATGGCGAGCACAATAGTGCATTTTTTCTATAAAGAGGAAATGCGCTAAAAATGAAAATAGAATGATAGAGGAGTCAATAGTGTGAACATGCGTCAATAATTTTGTGAAATATGATTCAAAAATTTAAAACGTCTAAAACATGCCAGCAAAATTTTTAAATGATTTCGTGTTAATTTGGTTAGAAGAATTTTTAATTTGGAGTAGGAAACATCATTATATACAGGTGGACATTAAAAGGCAACACTTTGCCGTTGTATAAATTTGTCTTCTAGATTATTTCCACGTTCAAGATAATTTTTTATAGTTTTTCTTGTATAATTTCCCCATCATTGGCTCGATTTTGCGCTCAACAACATTTCATTTTGCTCGACTACCAGAAAATTTTAGTCTATCAACACACTGGCAAGTTATGAAACTACTTACTAATAATTAAACTATCGATTTTGTTTTAAATAATGTCTTCTAGTTTATTATAATTCCAGTCATATTGTTTTACTCTGCGAAGGCCAACACTGTTCGCCTCTGATCTTTTTTGCTGCATTATATTTTTTTTCATAGTAAATTTGAAACTCAATGCACGCAGTAAAAGGGCTCTCATTTTCTTAATGCTATTCCTACCTAAATTGTAAGTCAACCCTTGACTGCCTGCCTCGTCGTGTGGGAAGTGCCGCTTCTTGAAGAAGTTTAGAATTTGCGAAATTCTTTTTTATTCGGAGCCGCGAGTAAGATTTTACCGTAGTGTATTTATTTCAAGTCCTTCATCCTTGGAACGCGATTATGCACATCGCAGGTAGCCTGAAAGAAGGATAAATTAGGCAACGCTGATATCTAGCCTACTTTTCATAATCGCGTTTTTCTCTGCGACGTTTTTACATAATCAAGTTTAGCAATGAAGGAGACTGTGAAAAGAGTGTGTCAAGAGATACGTTCGCTCCAGCTAGGTCACTCTTAACATTTTGCTCGCGATGTCGCTTCTAATTAAACAAGACTTTACTGCACGCTTTAACGGCTAAGAGGCTCATGTTAAATTCACTCGTTTGATTAAAAGTGCAGTGGTTTGTTCAGCTTATTTTCTTCGTGTTATCTAGTATTGGTCGAATTTGATCAATTCACAAACTGATGACAAATGACCATTCTACCAATCTTCGGAATGCCCTATACAACAGGACCTTAAATTCATCTTCCTAATGTATTTCATTCTTGACCGCATAAAAATTTTTCCTAATTTTACGCTTGCCTATATAGCCCTTGTCCCTCATAAGTAGGAACATTTTTGCCAGTATTTACTGCAGGCGCTGTAGGCCGCGCCATTGCTGCCGAAGGATAGGCCTATGCCAGCCTCTGCGGTGCATTCGTGTCCTCCTAGAAGAGGCGAGACCTAAACTTTCCAAGGCAAAAAACTGAACATGAAGGAGAATTTTCCCTGGAGTCTTCAAAGCGCTCCTGTGCTGGAGATTTTTAGACGCTAGTTACGAAGACTTGCCCTCCAGGGACCTAGACTGCAGTTGCTGGTCCAAGACCAACTTTTTTCTGGAGTTTTTATCCAAGGAACTCTTTTAAAGTATTCTTTTCACGTAAAACTCGCGAATATTTTCGACTTCTCTGACGGTTTTTAGATTATTTCTCAATCTTGCCTGGTTTCAGAGTTTGCCGTGTTTTCTGTCATTACAGACTAAGGGTTTTTCTTTTGCTTATTTATATGGACCATAAAATTGTTATCTGATTGCATTGTTCCTAGAAGTTACGGTCTAAATGTTCAATAAATCTAAAGCGTTCTATATTTATACTTTACTTTTTAGCTTTAATGACTACATCATCACTCAACTCTCATGACTACATCATCACTCAACTCTCATGACTACATCATCACTTAACTCTCATGTCTACATCATCACTCAACTCTCATGTCTACATCATCACTCAACTCTCATGACTACATCATCACTTAACTCTCATGTCTACATCATCACTTAACTCTCATGACTACATCATCACTCAACTCTCATGTCTACATGATACATCATCACTCAACTCTCATGACTACATCACCCAACATAACTACGTGACTGTAATGTATGCTTTACAAATCTGTCACCACGCATAAGGTGACGATGGGGCCATTCATCATTCACGAAGCCATTCATTATTCACATTATTATTCTACCAAATTATTCATCCTGATCCGCAGTTCTCCATTTTTGTCACCAATTGGGTACGCGGGAAAACAAACTCCATTTTAAATAACTGATAAAAATGTCGTGATATTCATTGAGATTAATTTAAGAAGTGAGGCTTCTTAAATTAATAATGTCTTATCAATTATATGTGCATTGTGTTCTTCCTGTTCGATTATTTGCAATATAGTGGTCAGGTCTTTATTTGATAATTTGCAATTAACTCATTTCTTTGCTAAAGACGATAGATATGATTCTATTTTGGTTTACGAAAAGGCTTTTGCAAGTGCAACCACGCTGACAATTTTTTTATAGGTGGCCATTTGCTCTAATGGTGTAGTCGTTGCTATGGTAACTTTTCTTGATATAAATCCCATAAAAAGGTAATGTAAATAACTTCAACTAATTAAATAATTAATGAATTGATGAAAATAACATCGAGAGCTAACTTATGTGAATCGCTATTACTAAGATGTTAAGAAAAAATTAACAAGTTCGATTCATTTCACGAGCTAGAAAACTTTAATTCATATAGTGAATGCGATATCGTCTCAGCACAACGGGACTAGCGAAAAATGTTCTTAATTAGAGCCTCGCTAATCACCCTCGGGATGAGAGTTGCGGGGAAGTTGTACCGGCTTCTTGAGTCCATACAACACAAAACAACACAAAGTCTTGTTGTAACTTGTAATTTATACACTCAATAAAATGGCGCCTTCGTGGTCGTTAAGTCGGTCTAAAGAGACGCTATGAAGGCGGGATCATTACATGATGAAAAACTGCTGATATGACGAAAAAATCTTTTCGTTTCATGACTCACGTGCTGATTCGCTAGAGGAAATTTAAATCGCAAACACAATGGATTTAGGTAACATATTTTTTTTTGGGGGGGGGATGGCGGGTGAGGGGGTTCAGAATTGCAATAAATGCTTGCTACCTCACACTGCACATACAAAAAATCCTTTAGCAAAAAAGAAAAAAAATTACATATGAATTTTTCTGTAAGCTCAAAAAAGAAATTTTATGATAGCTAATTATAAAGGAGCTGATTTTGAAATGAAAACTCATTATAAACCTGAACACTTAATAGAGTATGCAATCGGGCTGACAAAGACTTAACTGAATTTTTCGAAATAATCATAAAAGCTTTTAAGCAAGTCATTGTGTGCCTTCATCATGAATGGAAAGCACAAGGCTAAATGCCATTTAAACTTTAGATGATTTCTTCCTTCCAATTAATTGTCACCTGAATTGCGAATACCTTTAGTATCGAAACATTGTTTTAGGTACAGTTTACCATCGTAAATATTGTAAGTAATATGAGAGAAGTGCTAATAAAGAGTAAACCTGGAGAGCGCAAGATGAAAAGAGCAAAATGGAAGCGTGCGCGAGGGAAGCGTGAAAGAGAGCGTGTTGACGGGGTGAGTGGTGACGGGGTGAGTGGTGACGGGGTGAGTGGGGCAAATTGTGAGAGTGGTGGAGTGGGAGTGGGGTAAACTGTGAGAGGGG